CTGCTTTGCTGTTCCCTGAGGAAATCAGTTTAACAGTCCCCAGCTCTTGGCAGGCAGAGGGAGGGAGGTGTGTGTGTGGGAGAGAAAGGGAGAAGGAGAGAGGAGAATGGAGACGAGGGGGGAGCGGGGGTTACTGCCTCTCTGGGCAAGAGGGAAATCTAATAAAACTGTACTAATGGGGGTGTGGAGGTTTTAGGAACGGAGAGTGGGTTTGCAGGCAGGCACCGGTGGGTAGTGGGGCTGGTGGAGATGAAGAGGATGGGATCAGATCCTCTTAAGTTCTTGGCACAGCAGCAGAGTCGAGGTCCCACAGATGGTGAACCTCTGCTGGGTTTGGAGTTTTAGTTTCAGGGCCTGGGCCTACAAAATACACTGCCAGGAAATTTACTGCTACAATATAATATTTTATACAATTAAACGTGTTGTCCACGCACAGACCCCATTTCAGGAGGAGCTGGAACATGCCCAAAAAAATGCAATAAAAAAAAAGTCAAAGTCTGAAGTTTTTGGGTTTTCACCTGAAACTTTGAAAATGTGGAGGTAAAGTTTGGAAACAAAGAAATATTTTTCAGGACGGGTCATCGGAGTGTGTTGTTACGTTGTACTAACATTGTCTGTTAGTCACAGTTGATGGTTCTGTGCAGAACAGCTATCGCCCCCTACTGATCTTTACTTGACTAGGTGGACAGTGTGTAGGTGGTCAGGTCATTTGACCAGAGCAGGTGAGTTACAGCCAACTGGACTGAGTTGTTTCTAGAAGACTGAACCGTCCAGTCCACTTTCCTGTTTCTTCAGACTCTCAGTATAAAGAGCGAGGGCAGAAACTGCTGCTGAATGTGCCTGACCTCTGAGTCAGTAAAGTCCTGATCCTGAAAGTCACCGTGCCTCTAAAGAAAATCTTTTGAAGATTTCTTTTAGAGGACAATTTCTCTTCAACTCCTACATTTCTGTGAGCAGTGATTCCATCAGAGAACTCTTCAACACTAGGTGGCACCCTGCTCCTTCGCAGAACCTGTTCTAAAGGTTCAGTAATGTTGACGGTTCCCCTCAGGTTTGGTTTAAAATTTTATCTTCTGATGCCGTTGAAAATTCTTCATTTTTTGGAAAAATTAACTCTTCATTGTCGTGTGTTGCCATTGAAGGCGACGTCTTTATTCAGAGATGTTTTCAGCAGCAGAACCCCAGGTCAAAATAAGCAGAAGTTACGGGAGAGTAGCATCGCACAAAAACAGTTCTTGAGGTGAATGTTTCTGAACTAGTCGTAGACTAACAGTGAGAACTGTTACAGTGGTCTTCACCTGAGAAGTTAACGTCAACGTATGGATTTCAGTGACCGTTGACCAACTCTTCTGAAAGTGTGTGTGTGTGTGTGTGAACCACAGGCAGAGCTTGTGAGTCTTTGTGAACTTAGAAGCAGAAGAGCTGAGTCGTGATCTTCCTGCGCCTCACCTCGACTCCTCAGACTGGTTAAATCTTCAAGGCGCCACATGGACAGAGGACCCCCACCCCCCACCCCCCCCGGCCACCTCCCCCCGACGGAGGACCGCTCCACTTTTAAGGCGAATAAAAGTGTTCACCCTGACCTCGGAGGGTTTGATTTACCCACGGAGAGGCGGGTGTGGTCTGTTCCCTTTGTACCTGCTCTGGGCTCCTGCTTTCTCCTCCTCGGGGTTAATAGACATGAAGTCATAAGGAGAGGAGAAACCTGAGTGTGGTCTCAGGATGTGCCCAGAGCACTCACGGGGACATCACTCAAAACCCCCGTGTCACACAGGAAGTGGCCATTAATAAATATCATTAATGGGTGATTACCTGGTATCTGGGAAACCACATAAAAGGCCGAGGCCTAAAAAGGGGGGAATGGGAGTGGACGGGGTCAAAGGGCAAAGGTCGGGAAGGAGAAGGCTCGCCTGTGGGCTAAATACAGCTGAATCGGGGACGGTGTTTTAGGGATGGAAAAATCAATAGCCGCACTACTTTCGTTGCAGTGTCAGAATGCATGAAATGTGGTGTCAAATGTGTGTTCAAGCTGCAGGTTTATGGATTTATCCGCTCACGTCTCCGAGGGCTCATTATTCATCCTCTTGTTGTGTAGCCGCAGTGTTTTTCTAATTTAACAACAGCAGACCTGGACAGTGTGTGTGTGTGTGAGTGTGTGTGTGTGCCATCCCGTCTCAGAGCGTCCTGCACCGCCACAGTCTCACACCTGCACCGATTTAATGACTGTTTTCTGAGGTGGCCGTGTTGCTGCAGGAGAAACGTGTCCGTGTGTGTGTGTGTGTGTGTGTTATTAGAGTGAAACGCACATGGTGTTTAAGTCCCGGTGCTTAGCACAGTCTGAGGGAAATACAACCATGTGTTTTGGAGTCATTAGGGAGCTGATGAAGGTGTTTGAGAATCACAGGCTGCTCATCAGCGCCGTGCTAACGTCCCTCAGTTGCGTCACTGTGGTTCTGGATACAAAGACTTAAACTTTGGCCGAGCTGGGCTCATCTCAGCTGCGTCCCAACTCCAGATGGAGCAGAGGAAGGCTCCGGTGCGGCCAGGGTCCAGGAGGTAACGTACTGACGCTCGTTCTGTTGTCTGGTTAAATCATCCGTCTGCGCTGATGTTGTCATCTTTGTCTTTTGGTCGTCACCTGCTGGACGATGGATATTTTTACGGTGAAATATGAGAGTGTTTTGTCTCCCAGCCACGGACCTGTTCTACCTCCTGCGTCTGGTTAAAAGCATCAATACCAGAGCTTGTTCTGACCTGACTGTGTACTCTGACACTCTTTAAATGCAGACTAATTCAATTAATAAACAGATATCTGTGGACACGGCCGGCTGGACGTCTCTGAGAGACACTGATAAATGAGCACTCACTGTCTTGGGATGATGGCGTGCGTCTGGGGAGGAGACACTAGAAGCCATCTTATCTTCCTTAACCTCTGCTCTCCCCCTCTCTGTCTCATCTCCTGACTGACACCCCTCGACTCCCTCTTCCTCTTCTTCCTCTTCCTCTTCGTCTTCTTCCTCCTGGGTGACAGGAATTCAGGCAGCACCTTCAGCTGCGGATGAGCGTGAGTGGCAGCAGGCTGTAAAACTCTGATTGGTTTCCAGTTTAACTGGAGGGTAGGCCTTGTCTCTGCAGTGCTGACGGATCAGCTGAAGGCTGAGGTGAAGGTGTTCGGTGCGGGGCAGTGCTGTCAGAGTCAGATGTCAGTCTGTGGTAAATGGAATATGTCGGTGCTGGAGAATCTGCTTAATATCTGTAAGCTCCTTTGAATATTCTCTGCTTTACTTTGGCTTTTTTACTACACATTTATATCCATTTGTTCACAGTAAAATCCTGTGCTCCACTGAGGCGGAGACTTTTCTCCGCTGTGTGATCCGCTCAGGAAGTGTGACAGTGACTGCGGCGCCGCCGACAGCTGCTAGCCTGAGGCCGCCCGCTGTGTGTTAATGTTGACCCTGTGGTATTTGGACTCCAGTCTCGCTGGTCGCAAAGAGGAAGGGCTGTGGCCCCAGATAGAGCCGCTGCCGAGTCTGCGGTCAAGCCAGTCAGCCTGGGCCGGGCTGTGAGCAGATGGGGACAGTCATCCAGGGATGAAGAATGAAAATAACACTCATGATGTGAGGCAACATTAAAAAAACAAACAAAAAAAACACCGAAACCCTGAAGCTGCAGACGTGCAGTGATGTGTCACTATGTCAGGCATCTGTTGGTGTGACAGGCAGAAACTGACGCTCAGTCAGAACAGGCTCGACTAGGTCATAATTTAACTGCACTGGTTTCATGTGCCATTCTCTGAGCAAGAAAAAACAAACCATTCTCAGCACAAACACACCTGAAGTCAATACAAACATATCAGTTTATTACACGGCAAATCTCTGGGATCTGCTCTTACTGTGGAAGCGTTCCACTTGTACAGCACTTTATTTGACTGCGTGTTCTTTCTGTCCTGGCAAGAATCCTGTCCTCTAACAGACGCTGTGTTTGTGTGTGTGTGTGTGTGTGTGTGTGTGAAAGTGCAGTGAAAAGCTGATGTTGCGCTCTGCGTTGTGATCCAGACCAGCTGGATGCCATTCCCTATGGGAATCATGAATGTAAAGGTTGTTAAAAGATATGGAGCCTTAGACCCAGCGTNGGCAGAGGGAGGAAGGAGAGCACTGGGAAGGAGAATAGAAAACTTTGTGGAGTTCACCAGAGTGGCCTTGAAAAGAATGCTTTGTTTGAGATTTGCTGCTGACTTCTTGTTAAATGTTACATTAATTGACGAGTCTGTGCAGTCTCTCCGTCTGTTAGTGTGTGTGTGTGTGTTTTATTTAATATTTTGTCTGAGGTTTTGCTCAACAAATGAAAGCTGTCACACATATTATGGCTTTTTTTGGGTGTTTGGGTTATGATTTTTTTTTTCTAGTCTAGTGGTTTTTCTTCATGTGATGCCCAGAAAAACAGACTCCTGAGAAGAGGTGTGTTCAGTAAACACGGAGAACACAAGTGCGCTGTGTGTGAGCGACTCTCTCTGCTCTCTGCTCTCACTCCCAGGCGGCTCAGAGACATCGGGTCAGTCTGGTTTAAGTAGACCACACTAAGGCTAAGGCAACACGCCTCCTGCTGGGTCAACAGGCAGACAACAGTCTGAGGTTCACACCTCTGCCATGTACTGTAGCTCATGGAACACACAAACACACACACACACACACATAAACAACATGTGCCCGGGCCATTAAGAAAATGAAGAGGAAGAACTGGCAGGATGGCAGTCACACCGGGTAGAAATGGGGAGAATGACAGGACTGAAGGAGAGACAGAGGACGGTCGAAATGGCTTTGATTTGTTCTCCTGGCTCACAGATTTATAGGCTAATTCATCTTCTCATAGTCGGCGCGTAAAGCCACTCAGCAGCCATTGATCATCGGCCGACTGATAGATGAGAGCACACACAAACCCTGGGATAAGAACTAATTGCGCTCACGCTGATGTTCTTTGTCTGTTCTGTTGTGTTCGCCCAGAGACTGAAGGCAGCACTTTCACACCACCCTGGAGCCATCGCCAACGGGAACATGAACTCCATGGGCCACATGATGGAGATGATGTCATCGCGGCAGGAGCAGGGCAACCACCATCACATGCACTCGCACCCGCACCAGCACCTGCAGGCTCCTCCCCATGCGTACCAGCACCACGGCCATCACCACCACAACCAGGGCCACGGGCAGGCCGCACACCACCACCCGCAGGGACACAACCCCCACCACAACTCCCACAATCCCCACCTTCACCCTGGTCACCCTCACCAGACATCGCCGCATCCTACAATGCACTCGGCTTCACAGGTTAGTAACGTCAACTCGGTCCAATAGCAGAGTCAATAGATAGATGATTTGGAAGAGGCAGAAACTGCTGCTGAATGTGCAGTGAATATGAATATAAGACAGTGTTACATTCTGATGTGTCTCCACTGAAGGAGGATAAAATGAAGACAGATGCACTCGGCTTCACAGGTTAGTAACGTAAACTTTCTTGACATAATTACACATGTATTCACAAGGTGTAATGAAATCTAAACTACATGTGGGAAATGCTGCCCCCTGCTGCACATAACAGAGAGGTCACTTTACTGCAAAATTTTCAAGAAGTATCATTTTTGGTTATATATATATCCATCTCTTTTTTGTGCATCTCAGGTCAGTCAAAACGTTTTAAGACAGAGGTTAGAACGTGAAGAACTGAACAATGATCATTTGTATCCATTAGATATATTTGATCAGGTGTTTCTAAACCTCATATATGATCAACGTGGAAATCGGAGCAGAAAAACACACTTGCTAAAATGGTTCCCACTCAGCAACAGCTTTTTATCCCGCTCCATCTCCTTCTTTCTCTCAAAGCTGAGAGAACGTTTGAAAAGAACTTGATTTACAGAACTAGAATTTTACAAGGAAGGAATTCCATGGTGGAAACAGCGCTGGCAGACGTGTGTAGGCTTGATATTATGACCCAGTTTCACAGGGTTATATTTACATTGAACAATAATATCGTAACATCACAACAAACTGATGTTATAGTGCCCCCTGCAGGGGAGGGAATGGAGTGGCAGCCTTTGAAAGAAAGCTTCAGGCTGTTAAATGTTAAGTGAATGCCACTTTTTTTTGCTTCAAATTCACAACTGTACAACTGAACCCAAATCCCTGATCCCACTCCAGACCTGGGATCAGAGACAGAGTCCTTTATTATGATAAGTCCAAACAGAAACAGAGCTCAAAAAACAGCTAAACAGAAAACTAACTCACGCCAGATGGACAGAACGCACAGAGCAGAAGGTTGACAACAGGAAACAAAACATGGTTCAGTCAGCAGAGGAGAAACAGAACACAGGAGTCAAACAGGCAGAAAATAAAACATCAGTCAAACAACAGCAGCAGCATCAACAGACAGACAGAGACAGACAGAGACAGAGGGGTTTATATACCCAGGACACCAGGTGAGACCAGTGACACTAATGAGCAGGCACAGCCTGGACACCAGGTGAGAGTGATCATCGTTAGGGAGAGACAGACAGCCGTGACATTTACTCTGCCCACCTCCTTCATGGTCATTTTTTCCTCTGATTGGTCAGCGGCAGGTCAGCCTCAGATGGAAGAGGTCAAGAAGAGGCTGAAGAAAGTCTGTTATAAAAGCTGTTCAGGAGTGTGTATTGGAAACTGTGCTCCACACCCTGCTCCGCTGCAAAGCTGCCATTATGTGACCACAGCAGTGACCAGGTGCAGGAGATGTTTTTTTTTAATGTCTTGATGGTGAACAGACAGCCGTGACTAATGGTCCTGGAACGAATCCTTCATATTTGTGGTTATATTTTAACTAAACATTGAAAAAACAAAAAACAAACAAAAAAAACCCCCCAGTGGCTTCAAGAAATAAAAAATAAAAAGTGATGTGAGTGAGTTTGTCCCTGCATTGTCTGGTGTCCTCTGTGAAGTCCAGCCACGTTGAGTGAAGGACACCACGACATCCAGAAATGCAAATGGATTTATGTTCCAAATGTACCATTAAGACATTAAAACAACACTCGGCCGTTGTGGGCCGGCCATTAAAGCCGCTTGTATTTTCCACGGTTCTCATAAAAATGGTAATGACCCGAAGACTGAAAACACTTGACCTTGCCAAGGATGTGTCAAGATCTGTCAGAGCGCGTACGCTTTTAGAAACAGGCCTTTTGACTGTGTCTGGTGGCGTTAGTCTGAGTGGGAAGTGGGCGTTGGAAAACTGCCGCCTCACACCTCTTTAACAAGGTGGGCACGCTGGTGAATCGGCCCAGTCACTCACTCACTCGCTGCTCAGTTGACGGAGCAAGTGCTGCGGCCAGATGTTGTTTTTGGGGAAGTTGCCAAACACGGAGCAGATGCAGGGTTTAATGTATGGATGCCTGTTTGGGAGGCGGGAGGCTTTGAGGTCAGCGAGGCGGTGACAGCAGACAGGTGACCGGTTGTTTCACAGCGTTGTGTCTGCAGCGTTCAAACGCCTGTCTGGATGACGGCGGACTGACCCTCCCGTCAAAGAGTTTAAACTCATTGCTGTCGTTTACAGATGTCACCCGCTACCCAGCAGATGCAGCCCTCACAGACGCTGCAGTCTCCACCCCCCAGCGGAGGGCGGCGTAGGCGAGTTGTGGACGAGGACCCTGACGAACGTCGACGGAAGTTCTTGGAGCGGAACAGAGCTGCGGCCACCCGATGCCGACAAAAGAGAAAAGTCTGGGTGATGTCGTTGGAGAAGAAGGCGGAGGAGCTCACGCAGACCAACATGCAGCTGCAGGTATTCAACAGCAGCGTACTGCAGAGTACTGCTACGAATACTTCACTGGTCCTTATTCAACAGCAGCGTACTGCAGAGTACGAGTATCTGAATCAGAAATACTTCACTGGTCCCTGGAGGTTCGGGGGGGCAGTGGACGATGTTACAGATGCTCCTCGAAGAGCAGTTAAAAAAATAAAACAGAGGGATTTTTTTGTTTGTTTATGTAATCTAACTTTTTCCTAGGACAGCGAAGGCCCCTGACTTGACTCTGAAATACTAAAAGCCACCATCTGGTCATTCATGGGTTAACTTTAATTTATGTGAAGGCAGTTTTTCAGCTATTTAGCCATTTTTCTAGAGTGTAATATTCGTGTTTTTCAACCTTGGGGTCGTGACCCCAATGTAGGATCACCTGGAATTCAAGTATGGTAGCCTGAAATGGTGACTAATAAAAATATTTTTCAACTAATTATTATTATTTTTAAAACTACGTTTAAAAACACCACACAGTCCCGACACTTTCTTGAATATAAATCCAGTCCAAATAAAATACAGCACATATGAGTTCATTGATTGACGGCTGTGTTCACATAAGTAAAAAAAATGTCTCTCGGATTGGGAGAAATTTGTGATTTCAAGTTGAGGTCATAGGCCAAAAAAGCCTGGGAATCAGTGGACTAATCCCTTAGGGCGGGGTACACCCTGGACAGTTCCCTAGTCCACCACTGGGTGACATACAGAGACAAACAAGCATTCACACTCACAGTCATATTAATGGCCATTTTGGAGGAGACATGAGAACTACACAGACACAGACAGGGGATCAAACTGATGACGTTTTTGATGTAAGGCCAGCGTGTACTCCTGCCACTAAGTGTTCTGAACTGGAATATTTTGCAATTTTATTTTAATTTTATTCACTTTTGAAAATGTTTGGTTTGATTTTGTTATTTGATTTTTGTTGTTGTGTCTGTGCCTACAGTGGTAAACCTTTCATGTTTTGTTTTGTTTTTTTATTCAGAACGAAGTGACGATGCTGAAGAACGAAGTGACCCAACTCAAGCAGCTCCTCCTCACACACAAGGACTGTCCCATCACCACTATGCAGAAAGAGTCTCAAGGTTACCTCAGTGAGTAGTTCGTATTCTGTAACACATCTATAACACACACACACACCCTCACACACATGGATTAATGGGGGCGGGCGGGGGGGGGGCAGGGTAAAAAGCACATTTACGTGTGTGCTGCAGCCCCACTGTGCAGATTGCACTGCAGTGGAAATGATTTATAGACGGTTTTGTAAAAGGAAAGGTATAAAACCCTACAGAAGCGTTTGTGATTGATGCCCAGCACCTGCCAAAACTCTCTGCTCCCATGTGCTGGTATTTAGCTCCCACGCTCACTGCAGGACTTCCTTTGACACATGGGTGTTGTTCTCAGTGGCAGCCGGGCCCAGGCTGGGCTGGGAGTCTGTAGTCTGAATCCCATGTGAGACCTTTTTTTCCATCTGACAGCGTCTGAGTGCACAGAAGCAGTCAGGACCCAACGTGGGAAAACGTCACGTCAGGCTCCGCAGCGCCGTCCAAACTCTCATGGACGTCCCATAATCTCACTGATTATTGAAATGTGGGCTCATTAGTGTATGACATCAGCGCCCCACCCTTTGATACAGATACGGGTGACATTTCCACCTAATTAGGATCAGGCACCTCCCTGCGTGGCTGTAGCACAGGAAAATAAGCCTCACATCCCCTTTGGCTGAATGGTTCTTTTATACAGCGGAGCGCCAACTCCCAGACTGGGCTGGGCGACTTTCATCGATGAGTCTAGCCCATGTACAGATGTCACCTTCAGTGTGTCCAAAATTCATCAGCCATGTTTGCGGAGTCCTGTGATTCACTTTTCCATTTTTGTGTTATCCATTTATAGTCGGTTGACAGCTCAGACGTCCGGTGTGGATTTACAGTTACATTTGTTTGAAAACGTGTATCCTTCACTTGTAATAAAGCTGTCTGATGACATCACCATCATTCATTTGTGTTTATTTAGCATTTCCACCATCACGTTATCAAACAAACCTTGACTGAAAGGTTTCACATTCTAACTTCAGTCCACAAACATAGATAAGCCTGGGGAATTACCAAGGTCAAATTTTATGATAGTGTACCTTGACTGACTTCGGAGTTCTGTCCCTACTGTGCGATGTAACTTGTCGGATCTCCCACACTGTCATTAGTACCGATGTCACTTACCTAAGGCTAACACAGTGCTAACACTATAATCTAGGACATTTAAACGTCAGAAAATTCTGACTCACACCTGCGAGCCATAATGAAGGGCAAAAACACCACAAACGACAGAGAGAGAATGTAGCACAAGCCAATCTATGGCTCACAACCGTCAAATGTAAACAAAGATGTCCTCAGCGTATAGCTTTGCATGACAACGTACTCGTCCGTTCCGCTCACCAACTAGTTCCCGCGCGAAATAGGTGTCGAGATTTAACGCCGTACGTCGGAATGATGGAACAAGAGTTTCTCCGCTCACCAACTAGTTCCCGCGCGAACTAGGTGTCGAGATTTAACGCCGTTCGTCGGAATGATGGAACAAGAGTTTGTTAATACATTTATGGAAGGTAGCGATGTAACCACGAAACGTCCTAAACTGAGGACCTCTGGTATTTATACACATTGTAGTGAGTTTCAGGCCAGTCTCCTGAGGTTCTCTTACTTATTTATGGAATTATTTTTTCAGTCCTCTGATAATCCACTGGAGGAAATGACGTTCTGCATTCAACCTATGCATGAAACACTCCAGTAATTAACGCCAGACGGCCAGGAACACGGTCCTGTCAGGGCTGGGATTCAACCCGACAGTCTTCTGATTACCAGCCGCGATCCTTTGGGAGATTCATCATCTTTGGAAGATCACTTAAGCTCCTATGGATTTTATGGTCTTTTGCCTTTGACCCTCGCGCCGTAGATTCACGTAGAGCTTACGTAAGTCAGGCCTACATGTGAGCTGATGTGAGGTCTTTTGAAGTGTTTTTGTCAAGTGTGCTTTTTTTTTAGTTTCAGCTTTGCCTCGTTGGACCAGATTTCTTGATCCTGGATCTGACATTGGACATTGGTGTTTTGTTTATTTCCTGTTTTCTAACCTTGGGAAATATGTTATTTTCTGTATACAAAGTAAAAAAAAAAACCCAACATGTAAACATAGTTAATAAAGTTATCGTCCCTGTCTCACTGATGTCACTGCTGTCTCTTCAGGTCCAGAGAGCAGTCCCGCTGGAAGCCCGACGCCAGCGTGCTCACAGCAGCAAGTCATTCAGCACAACACCATCACCACCTCCACCACGACTGTAGGGGGCAGCAATGGCCACGGACAAACCAACCACCGCACAGACATAAACCCCATCCACTAGGGACCAAGAGAGACTGTTACCCGGCCTGTTGCCCCACACCATGCCCCTGCTTTTCTGTTACGCGAGGGTCACGGGCGCGGCTTTTTACCCTGCTTCAAGAAAAACCTCAAAGGCCTGTGAGGCCGTTCTTTCTACAGTAGCTACAGTATGTATTTTTATAGACCCACTCTATTAACACGTAAACCTTCTACGGTTTGTCATCTTTTTTTAACATGTTTTTTTTTGTGCGGGATTAGCAGACGGAGTCTTTGCTAATCTCATGCAGCATTTAAGTGACTTTTATTCTTTGTGTAATGGTACTGAGTGGACCACAGCCGTGGTGGAATCTAAGAACAGGGGCAGTAGCCTCGGACCGTCATCTCTTCAAACAAACCAACATCTCTGTTTGTCTCATGGACAGAAGAACCGTTCACTAACTTTCAAACCTCGGCAGTATGAGCTGAGCAAAAGGATTTTTCGTAAATGAGCGAGGGGAGATTTCTGAAGAACCGTTGCCCATCAGGAACAGTGTTGTTCAAGGTTGATCTGCACTGACAGCAGGAGGAAAACACACGTTCTGTCCAACATGGACCGAGGTTCTTACTATTCCTAGATTTAATTTTTTTTTGCAACAAAAATTCTAAAACAAATTGCTCGAAATATTGTTACCAGCACCATGCAACATTTACCAGTTACTTAAAAGAAACATAAAAACCAATATACGACCAGTGTTTATAGCATTTCAATGGCAGTGCAATTGACTGCCGTAGAACAAAAACCAAACCAATCACAAGCCTCATCTTTAACCGCTGCGTCGTCAGCTTCAGATATGAAACTTTAGCTGGACGGACCTGCACAACGATCAACAGAACCAAGTTGCCATCTTTCTTTTTCTCTTGTCCTCCTACTCTGTTCGATTCCTGGATTATACTGAATGCAAACATCTAGTTGTGTCTCAATACATACTGGCTCATGTTGCATAGCATTTGCAATAACATTTTGAGCACATACAAATATAAATCAAAATTTCAGATATTGCTCTACAGCTTATAGCTAGCTCTCCAAGGTTAGGAAAAATAAGAGCCCCCTGGTCTATGGTGGACTAGATGTTTTTGTCTTCCTGACTCAGTCCTCAGTAAACTTCTCCTTTGTGTTCTCCTTGTTGTCCTTGAATCCGGGAATATAAAACAGAGGGAATGTTCCTTTCCCGGGTTAGGGTTCAAGACTGTTAACTACTCCCCGTCCCAGGCAGACACAGAGATTGTTATGATACGTTTACGGTTGAGACATTGCAAGTACTGATCGATCAAACAGAAGCAATACAGCGATAGTATTGATCACATCTCAACTGTTCGTCCATGTGATGATCAGCGTGGCCCAGCCATTCTGGTCCCTGACAACAAAAGGCACTATTACATCCACAGAACTGTACACTGTGATACCAGTGAGGCAGCTTAGCTTAGGGAGCTGAAAGCAGCTCCTGCGCTCTCTAGGACCAACTGAAGCTTTAACCCTCGAGGCCTCCTCCCTTCTTTCCTCCTCTTTAAGATTTAAATGAATATTCCATAAAATGCATACATTTTGTTACGCGTGCATGTAAAATATGTTTATGACTTGCTTG